TTAAGTTGGTTTTGTGTGTGTGTGTGTGTGTGTGTGTACTGGTATATATGGTTTATGAGGACTTCCTGTGTCCCCGTAAAACAAAAGGCTATACAATATTTTACTCCTGAGTAACTTAATGATACTCAGAAATTTTAATAAACATTGAACTAAAAATGTCACCTATTCCCACTTGTCCTCTAACAGTGAAAATGTAATAAAACCGAGAATTAGACCCACCACACCTGACCAATCAGAATCAGCTCCGCGCCGACAGGCCCCGCCCACTCCAGCACTAGTGTGACTGACGGTGCGGCTCCAGCTGCTCGCTCTGTTTACGGTCCGCCTGTCCCGTATGTGCGTGATTCACCTGCTCAAACGCTCCTGAAGATCCGCTGGAGTTTAACACGGTAAAATGGCGAGAGATCAGGAACTGAAACAGGTTGATTTATCGCTGTTTTCCCTTTAATGAACTCTTGTTTCATGTTTGTTCGGTAGGGCCGGGCTGGAAGTGTTTTATTCCCGTCTGGATGAGTCAGTGTGTCTGTTCTGGACATTTAATCTGTAGCAATTCCGCATGATCACTGCTGGAATGACACACACAGCTCCTTAACGAGCAGCCACACTCTCCATGAACAGGTACAACTATGTTTTATTGTATTATAACTTAAAAGTTCTCGAGTTGCAGTCATACATTTGTCATTTGGAACTTTAAATTGTGAAACATTGTCACAGATCAAACAATTGAAACAGTGATTGTTACAATATTACAATATTACAAATGTTTATACAACGAAAGAACAAGCAGCATTAAAAGAGATGCAACAATTTAACACTTTACATTAAAACATACATAAATATTAAATAAAAGAGCAATAAAAACACAAACCTCTTGCATGCAAGTCTATTTAAAATGTAAATATTTAAAATATTCATTTGAAATATTCAGAGCTGTTTGAAAAATTAAGGTTATAATTTGTAGTGTTAAATAAATAAGCTGCATGTTCGTTTCATGGCGTTATTGCTCATACTTGGATGATGTAATAACACAGGAACTGGTGAGACAGGTGCAGAAGATCTTCATGATGGATGAAAGTGCTGTGAATGAGTCTAATGTGAAAGTGGCGGTCCGGGTGCGACCCATGAACAGGAGAGGTGAGTGTGACCGTCACAGTATGTGTGTGTAGACTGTGTGTTTGATTCTGGTCTTCATCTGCAGCCCTTATTTCTTTTATGATCCTCATTTATGAAAGCAAACCTTCCCCTTATGTGGGTCAGTGACTATTGAGGCTGTCAGGATGATGAAAATGAAAAAATCTGGGGAACAAAATTTAGTTTTAAAATGCATAAACTTAATCTTTATGCTGCATTTACATTATTTTTGGAAATGTTTATACTGTGTTCAGCACGGACACACACACACACACATATATATATATATACATGTCAATTATTTGTTCAATTACATAAATATTGCATGTGAAATGCTGTTTGTGAACAATGATGCAAACATCATTTTGACCAATTTTTTATTGATTGTTATTAATGTGCTTTTTATAGAACGAGACTTAAAAACAAAATGTGTTGTGGACATGGAAGGAAATCAGACCATCCTGTACCCGGCCAATGGAAACCTGGGAAAGGGCGACAGCAGGTAAACTGGGGTGTGTTTGTGTGGGTGTGTGTTTGTATTTGACTAACACTCAGTACAGTGATATTTGAATATGTAGAGTCATCTAAAAAAATGCAAAAATGACATCTCTATAGTTGTCTTGACAAGCCTCAAACTTTTGGAGTAATATTAACTAGATCTGAAGAATGTTAGTGCTTTTGCAATACAATGCTGGGGTGTTCTGAGTAGTTTCTAGTTGATATTTATTGCTCACTAGGTGAAATCACAATGAGTCTGATCACTTAAAGTAGGAAAGAAACAGAATCTCTTCCTGTTTTAGTTTGACTCTCTCTCGAGCTGACATTTTCTTTCTTTCTCTACATTCCTCTTCTCCTTTGACCTTCAGTGTCCATAGAAACGAGTGAAGGTTCATTGGCAGGTCAAAAGTAACCCTGGATACTTGTGCTAAAAACCCAAGAAACTAAATTACTCGTGTATCATTGGGTCTTTTCAGGCAACTTAAAAAACAAAGCTGCACAAATGTGTGCTGTCCTCTTGCCAAGCACCACATAGCTTTACAAAAGATATCTGGTTAACTTCCTGTGAATGCAACTACTGTAGGATTTTAAAATGGAAACACTGAATCCTAGCAGAATTCTGATTCTGATTCTGATTCTAGGGCATTATGTGGTTGTTAAAGTGTTGTGGGTGGTTGCTAGGGTGTTGGCAGGCAAATGTTAAGGTGTTCTGGGTGGATTCTAGGGCATTATGTGGTTGTTAAAGTGTTGTGGGTGGTTGCTAGGGTGTTGCCAGGCAAATGTTAAGGTGTTCTGGGTGGATTCTAGGGCATTATGTGGTTGTTAAAGTGTTGTGGGTTGTTGCTAGGGTGTTGCTAGGCAAATGTTAAGGTGTTCTGGGTGGATTCTACGGCATTATGTGTAGGCCTGTCACGATAACAACTTTTTGTTGTGCGATATATTTCCCCAGAAATAATTGCAATAAGCGATATTATTGTCATTTTAAAGACCATTTTATGCCACTGAATATATAATCATAATGTAACAGTATAATAATGCAAGAAGGCCTACACACTTCCAAATGACAACAAACTTTTACTTTTTAAGTATATTTAGATCATGGAAAATTAAGTATCAAAATATTAGAAACCTTAAAAAACTTGAATAAATAGTAAATAAACATTTTCTAACAAAAAGTGCAAAGTAACAAGTAGAAAAAAAGAAAAATGCACAAAGAACTTGTATGGAGATTTTTACATTACAGATTTTTTTCCTGTTTTTACCTTCTTTTCTCTGTAAATTAAGGGTGCACACTATTGCTGAAAAACACAATCACTACTTGGCAGTCAGATGTCCGTACGCACAAAGGCACAGATC